TTGGAGCAGCATGCATGCCAGCTGCCAGCCGTTAAATGGCCGTGAATATCAAGGAGGAGCTGGGGGAGGAGGAGGAGGCGGCGTCGGACGCAGGAGAGGGCAGGGAGCGGTGGGAGGAGGAGCTGGGAGAGGGGGAGGAGGATAAGGATACAGAGGAAGCCTCGGCATCGCTCGGACGTGTTTTTTTTCTCTGCGGGTATCACTAAGGGGCGTCTTGGATTAAGTCGGGCCTGTCCCCCTACAGGGGGATTGTCGACGAAAAATCAAAAGCACCCCCAACATAGTCCAAAAATAGTCTGGGGACTATGTGTTCACTATTTTCTGACCTGGTTGACGCATTTTTGGGGTATGTTCAATATTTCGTCGAAAATCCCCTTGTATGGGGGACAGGCCCGACAGAAGTCTTGGATCATCTTACGAAGTACAATACCAAAGCAGCAGGCAGCAACACCGAAGCCGGCACGGGGAACGGACGCCTGGGCGACTGGCGAGACGGCGGCAATGCTCCTCCGACAGTGCCCTCCAGGACGAGCTTTCGGTCGGGCCTGCCCCTCCAGAGGAGGAGCATCCAAGGAGAGTCCAAAAAGGAACATTCAAGGAGGAGGGACGAGCTTTTACAGTCGGGCCTGCCCCTCCAGAGGAGGAACATCCAAAGATGGTCCAACACATCTCTGGGGACGATGTTTGGACCATTTCTGTCCATGTTTGGGCTCTCGTTGATCATGTTTCGTTTTTCTTCCAAAATCCCTTTGCAGGAGGACCTGCCCGACCTGAAACAGTGCCTTCCGGGACAAGCCCCGAGGGCGCCCTGTCCCTCCCGGGCGCAGCAGTTCGAGCCCCCTCTGGGCGGTGAGCGGCCCGCGGCGCAGGCGCAGAGCCCCCGCCCCTTCGCGTCGGCAACGGGAGAGCCCCGAGCCCTAACGACAAGTCGGGCCCGTCCCGCTACAGGGGGAATGTCCAAACATAGTCAGAACATCGTCTGGGGACGATTTTGTTACTATCGTTGCCCATTTGGGAGCATGTCTGGGGTATTTTTCACTGTCGGGCCCGTCCCGCTACAGGCGAGGCCCCGCCTGCTCCCGCCCTTCTCTCTGCCAATTAAAGCTGTGCGCGTCCCGCGGAGCTTTCAGCGGAAAAAAAAATCCCGCTACAGGGGGAATGTCCAAAAAGAGTCAGACAATCGTCAGGGGACAATTTCTTGTACTATCGTTGCCCATTTGGGAACATGTCCGGGATATTTTTGTCCACTGTTCGTCCAAATTCCCCTTGTGGGGGGACATGCCCGACCTAACCCTAATGACAAGATGAAGGCGTGGCCTCACTGAGGTCTTCGTCTTCGCATAAGGGATCACAGTTTAGCGCGGCGTGGTCTGACACATCCACAGAAAAAGGCCCAACATCCCTAGTGTTTCTGGCCCTCCTGACTTCGGTCCCCTCCCAACGGACTAGGGGTCCTTCTTTGGTCAATCACCCTCTGCGTGGAGTTTCTTTTCGGCCAGATCTCGGGATCGTGGCAGCTGCCAAGCAAGTAGGCATACTATTGGGCTTGGCCTCGCTCGGACGTGGACATGTGCATTCCTCGGCGAGAACAGTCGAAGAGCCTCTTGGATCACCTTGCGAAGCAAAAACAGCGCACACGATTCTGAAAACGAGTGCCGTGGGGCGTGAACGCCCGAGCGATGGCAGGTGTATCGAGCATCACCGGCAGCAGCAGTCTGCAGCCTCGAGGGCACCGAAATCGGCCTCCTACTCCGGCAATATGTGTGCTCGGAACGCTGGACGCTGGCGCTCCTTCGCCCGCCCCACCGTCCCCATCCCCTGGCCACGGCCAGCGGGAGGTTGGGGTGCGCAGTGCTCCGCCGCCTGCGAGGCGAGCCCGCCTTGGCCCTCGCCGGCGTCGCCGTCGTCGTCGTCGTCGTGTCGACTTCGTCGTCGACGTCGTCGTCGTCGTCGTTTTCCTATTTTTTTGTCGCTGTCGTCGTCGTCGTCGTCGTCGTCGTCGTCGTCGTCGTTAGTGTTATCGTCGTCGTCGTCGCCGATGTTGATGTCGTCGTCGTCGTCGTCGCTGTCGTTGCCTTCCCGCGGTTCATTTCACTCTGCTTCCGTGCCTTCCCGTTGGGCGGTGGCCCTCACGAGGAGGTGGCGGCGGCAGCGGCAGTTCGGAAATTCGCCCAGAGTCCAGCACGTCATCCGGGTGTCAACCCGACCTGTCTGGCTAATGTTTTGGGGGGGGGAGCTCGTGTGCTCAGGGGAGGCTGCGGCACCGCTCACCGGTGCGCTGTCAACCAAACCTGCGGGGTTGGTTCCAGTTTTCGGCGCACTTCGCCTGTGACTTCGGCTTCAACTGGGGGTGCATCGAGAAGCGCCTTCCTGCCAGCTCCGCCGAGCTGGTTTTCCGCTCGCAGGGGTGCCCCCCCCCCCCTCCCAGCCTTACCTCTTGTGTGCTGTTCCCCGCGCCCAGCCCGCTTCTGCCCCCAGACGCTGTCGCGCCGTGGCAGACATCTTGACGGGAGGTTGGGGGTCTTTTTCTGGCCTGCTGGGGCCCTCGCCAGGCCTCTGGACTGTCAAAAACAGGCTCGGGATGCAAGTCCGGCTTTGGGGGAGAGGATCGGTCGGATTCAACAAATCAAGACGTCGCATGTTTGGGGAGGTTACGGTCATGAGCTCTTTCCCAACTTATTTGTTGCCCAGCCTTGGCCCACCATTCTTCGGCGCGACACGCTAACACGTACGCGTTGCGGAAGGGGTTGGGATTTCAGAAATAGCACTCTCTGTGGACGTTGAAGAGGGGGAGGCGAGGTTGGAATCAAAAGGCGGGGTCGACCCGCCTCCCCCTTCAATGGGATAGGGAGTATGAATCCTCCCCCCAATGTCGACGACGACGACGCTGACGATCGAGCCTTCGTAATTAGAATGCAGTCATGGCTGAATCGAGGCCTAATACGATTCTGTCAAAGCTGAATCGAGCCCTAGTAGGATTCAGTGAGGGATGGATCCAGCTGTAAAAGGATTGTTTCAGAGTTGGGTCGACCCTTCAGTTCAGGCTGGATCCAGCTATAGATAGGACCTTGCTGGACTTGGATCGAGCTGGGATGCCATAACAGTTGAGTTCAGCTAGTAGGTTTCTACAGGATCTGTTTTGAGCAGGAGTCAGGTTCTCAATCGCATCTATCAGAGCTGGAGGGAGCCCTGGAAGATTTTCACTCGAGCTTGATCCAGCATTGATAGCACTCCGAGTTTCTCAGTAAGCGTCGGGGGGGCGTCACCCTTGCCGACAGCCCCACGTCGACCCCCGTCGCGGGCAGCCACCGCGCGCCGATGGCGCTCCGACCCTCGTCGCGGCGCGACGGCGAGGCGAGGTCGGCGCCCGCCTGGCTCAGGCCGTGCCCGCGCAACGTCTAGCGCCGAGCCCTCGCGCCCACGCGCCCCGCGAAGCTCCGTCAGCATGGGCGGCCAGCCTGGGAAGGTCGACGCCGACGACAAGATCCCAGCCACCCAGGGCGCCGGCCAGGCCGACGAGGCCGCCGGCAGCCCCAAGAGACGGGCGGGGGGCCCCCGCGCCGCGGGCCGGCCCGTGCGCACCGGCGCTCTGCTGGCCGCCGCCCTTGTCGCCGCGGGGGGGGCCGGCACCACCGTGTGCCTGATCTTCTTCGCGCAGATGAACAGCCTGGCCCTCTTCCTGTCCTTCCTGTTCCTTGCGCTCGGCTCGGCCTCGCTGCTCCTAGCCGCCTGCGCCTCGACTCTGTGGGCGCGGCGGCGCCGCGCCTCGGCCGCGCCCTGCGCCCTCCTCGCGCTCGGGCTCCTGGGCTTCATGGCCGCCACGGCCGTGCAGCTCGGCCGCGGGGGCCCCGACGCCCCGGCCCCGCGGCTCGTTGGCGATGCCGAGAGGCTCTTTGGGGACGGCGTGGACGTCGGGGACGACAGTTACTCGGAGTTCCGGATCCCCGCGCTGGTGGCGACCGACGCGAGGCTGGTCGCGTTCGCCGAGGGCCGCCGCGGCGTCACAGGCGTGCACGGCGACTTCGCGGAGACGGAGCTGGTCTTCCGCACGCGCCCGACGGCGGCGGCGGGAGCGGTGCCAGAGCCGTGGAGCCCGGTGGAGTCCCTGGCGACGCTGCTGAGGAACTCCAGTTTCTGCAACGGCACCGAGTCCGAGTGCCTCCCAGCGGACTGCCAGAGGCACATGAGCAACCCCGCCCCGGCGGTCATCAGCTCGCAGCGTGGGGACCTCCTGATGGTCTTCAACTGCGAGAACACCGGCACCTATGCCGTGAGGCTGCAGGTGGCGCAGGCGCCAGGCGTCCCCGCAGTCTCCCTTGCCGGGCCCCTGCAGACAGTCCTGACAGCCCCGCCCAGGGGCGCCTCGTGGGCGGGCGTCGGGCCGCCCGCGAGCCTCTTCCTAGCAGAAGAGGGCGTCGTGCTCGTGCCTCTCTATTATGCGTGGACGCGCAAGCCGGAGCTTTTTGACGGCCTTGACTCGTTCGGGATGACGCTGAGCTACGACCTGGACTCGGGGGAGTGGTCCACCCCCTGCGAGGAGTACGGCGGATCGAAGGGTCAGGTGAACGAGCATCAGTACTTCAGCTACGGGGGAGAGGTCTGGGCTTTCGCGCGCACCATCAACTACAACCCGTGGAACCCACGCCGCACGCTTCTTCGCCGTGGCTCGGCTGGCAGCAGCGACAATTGCTTCGAGGTGGTTGCGCAGCCCCGCTTCTTCGAGCAGCTGCAAGGCTGCGAGGGCTCGGTGCTCACTGTCGGGGAGAACGGGAGCGAGCGAGTCTTCTACACGGGGGTCGACGGCAGCGTCCTGTACCGCAGCAAGCTGCAGCTGTTCGAGGCGCAGACAGGCGGCGGCGCTGGCCAGCCCGCAATAGCAGGGTGGACGCCTCTGGCGACGCTCCACGGTGGAGGTGCCGCCTACTCTGGGATGGCAGTCGTCGACGGAGGCCTTCTTGGCGTCCTGTACGAGCGCAGCGACGAGGCCGCGCTGAGCTTCCATCCAACCGACATCGTCTTACATCGTGTCAACATCTCCGCGGCCACAGGGCGGCGTCTCGCACCAAGCCGTCTTCGCAATGGCCGTGGCGCTCAGTGAGACTCGCGGGCTCCGCCTGACCAGAGACGCCAGACGCGCGTGTCTGTACAGTTTGCATGACTGTTTTCGCGTGTGCGTACAAAAAAAGGTTGGCGCCCGTCGGGGGGGTACCCCACCACGCTTCTTAAGAAACTCGCAGAGCGCGTTCCACTACTCGCAAAGTGCCTACTCGCAGAAGTCCGAAACACACACATGTCTGCTTCGATGTGATGTATCGTAGGTCCCCCGCGGCGGATCCGGGCAATTTGCGAGCAGTCACTTGGCGAGTAGTGGAACGCGCTCGTCCAGACACCCAGAGTATTTTACTCAGGTTACGTCGTGTGCGTAAGCCGGACAGTTGGGGGGATCATCTAACATCGGCCATCGCGCATTTAACCTTGCGACCCATTCGCGTCACATCAGACGCGTCTGTGCTCCCTCTTGTCATAAATCCTCCCGATGTTGTTACCCGTTGTTTGTGGAAGGCCGAAGTAGTAGTAGGATGGGGGGGCCCACCCCGGGTGCGACTCCGCCCCCTTCGGCAGGGCGGGGTGCCCCCCCCCCCGTGGTTGCCAGTGTCTCGGCGGGGAGGGAGATCGGCTGGCTGGGTCGACACCTCCACCTGGCGAGGGCGCGCCCAGGGGCCCTGGCATGCACAGCAAATCCTTCGTCGGGCATGTCCCTCTACAGGAGGAGGAGTCAAACAGGCGATTGAAAAAAAGTCTGGGGACGATTGGGGGACTCTTGTGGGCATGTCCCTCTACAGGAACAGGAGGAGTAGTCAAAAATGGGCTTAACAAAAAAGTATGGCGGCGATTTCGGGACTCTTTTTTACTATGTCAGAACATCTGCTCTGCTACTTTGATGTTTCGTCCAAGATCCGCCCGTAGGGGGACATGCCCGACCTGACCGTGTCGGGCCGGGCGAAAGGGGGGGATTGGGAAAGGGGGGGTTACGAAATCTGCTGCATGCATCTGGTTTCGGCCTCACCGAGGGGCCCATTCCTCGATACATAGTCGCCTCTGGCGCCGGGAGGCGCCGGGAGAATCAGCTACGTGAGCTGATTCTCAAACCCCCCCTTTGCTATCCCCCCCTTTTGCCCGACCTGGCCGTGGCATGCACAGCGAGCCCGACACCCACGAGGCCCGAGTCAGCAGGGCACGGGGCAGGCTGCAGGGCCAGCTCCGGGCTCGGGCCTCCCGCTCCTGCGCCGGAGCGGCCTCCCGGATTGTCCCTTGCACTCCAGATTTCGTAAGAAAGGGAGGGGGGTCTCATTTCGGGGGGGGTCTCTTCCAGGCTATCTTGGAGGGCCTGGGGGGTCTGGGGACGATGTTTTGGAGGGCTCTCCCACGGGGGAGGTCTGAAATGGCTTGTCTTGGAGGGTCCAGACCCCCTCCCTTTTATTACGAAATCTGGAGTAGATTCGCAGGCCTAGAGGTCGACACCAACACCAAGATCGGCAGTGTGCCTCCACCGAGGGAGGACGATCTCGATCTCGGTGATGGTGTTCATATTTTTTGGTTTCCAAGGTGGCCGAAATATTACCACCGACACCGGAATCGAGGATCATTTTTCCCATGTGGAGGCAACCCCCTGTGCTTGTGTTGGTGTCAATTTCCAGGCCTCCAATAGATGCGTGTCCAGTTCGCCCCGGGAGGTATCCTGGATCCAGCGATCCCAGGGTTTTGTCATATCGCACTCGTGGGCACCAAGCATCGGGGGCGGAAAAGAGGGGGGTGATGACCAGGGGGGGGGGATATCATGGCGGGGGCCATAATATTTCCCCAGATTTCATGGCGCCCCTTCTCATTTCATTACGTCCCTGGCCCCCCCCCCGCTGGGCCGCGCACATGCCGCCGGTCATGATTTGCACCCCCCCCTCTTGGACACCCCCCTCTTGGCCGCTCCCGATCATATCGCACTCGTGGGCACCAAGCGGGGCCTCATAGCCCATGCCGGCTGTGCGCCAGGAGATCCAGGTGCCCAGGGTACGCGGGGCGACCTGCCCCCGCCTCCCCTCCCCGTGCCGACCGGTTCCCGCGGTCCGGGGGTGCGAGAACGGTCCCCGCGGGGAGGGAAGCAAATCCCATCGTCGGGGATCTGGGACCTCCTCCTCCGTAGAGTCGGGGCCCTGAAGAAGGAACCCTTCTCGTTGGGGAGGGGCTCCGCGTTCCTTAAGTGTTTCGCAGCTTGCCTTAGGTGTTTCCTTAAGTGTTTCGCAGCTTGGCTTAGATATAAAATCGAAGTTGAATTTGTGAAAAATAGGGGCCTCGTTCCTGATTTAGGGTTCCTTAGGTCAACGCCCCGACTGTACCCTCCGTCCTCCTCCCTCCTCTCCCTCGGCCATCCTGGGGGCGACGCTCTCGGGTCAGCGTGAGCTCCACGGTTGTTCTGAGTCGGGCGTGTCCCCCTACAGGCGGATTTTGGAGGGAAAATAAAACTATCCAGAAAAGGTGCGAAACCTATGCAAAAATAGTTGAAAGATCGTCCCCAGAATTGTTTTTTTTTACTATTTTTAAATATTTCTCCTGTAGAGGGACATGCCCGACTTTATTCTCGGGTCAGCGTTAGTTCCACGCTTGTTCGCCAGTCTCCCAGATTCTTGCTGGACAGCCATGATGCGCCAAAGTATGCAGAAGGGACTGGCTGCCCTCCTGCAGCGCAGAAGAAAGAGGGAGCAGGCAAGCACAAGGTTTAAGTCGGGCCTGTCCCTCTACAGGAGGAATATTTGAAAATAGTCAACAAATCGTCAGGGGACGATTTTTGTTATCTCATGTTTTGACTATTTGGGGACATGTTCAGAATATGTTTGATTGTTCATCCAAAATATGCCTGTCGGGGGACATGCCCGACCTCACACAAGGTCGATGGCACAGTTTTGTTCACCCTGCCTGCAGTGGCGCATCCGCCTTCCGACCTTTCTGATAGGCGCGGTCTTCTCGTATCGTGCAGTCGGGGCGCTGGAGAAGGAACCCTTTGCCCTTTGCGTTTGGGAGGGGCTCCGTGTTCCTTCCTTGTTTCGCAGTTTGCCTTCGGTTTCCCTTGGGTTGTCGATGGGAGCTCGGAGCTTAACGTATGGAACAAAATTGGCCCCGTTCCTCATGGAGGGCTCCTTAGGTCAACGCTTAAGTCGGGCCTGTCCCTCTACAGGAGGCATAATTTCAGAATGGTGAACAATACTCCAGGGACAATGCGTTGAGCATGTTTAGACGATTTGGGGGCAATTGTTGCATATGTTTGACGTTTCGCCCAGAATTCGCCTATAGGGGGACTGGCCCGACCTAAGTTTGCAGAAGGGGATTAATGGAGAGGAAGCATGCTGCCAGATCATTTCCAGATGTCTAACACAGGTCCCAAACACAGCTTGAATATGTAAAAGCATATGTGAAACGATTCTAGACCATGTCTTTCCACAGTTTGAGCACTTGCTTAGCTCAATGATAGGAGGAGGAGGAGGAGGAGGAGGAGGAGGAGGCGGCTGCGGCGGCGGCGGCGGAGGAGTAGGGAGGAGGCAGGAGGGAGGAGGGAGGAGGGAGGAGGGAGGAGGGAGGAGGGTCCACTGTCATGGCATCCGCAAGCCTAAAGCCATCGCCCCGACGGCACCCCCCCCGGAGAGACGGCCGCCGCGGCGCGCCCCAGGCGGGCAGGAGCACGCGCGCGGCGGGCCGCAAGGCCGTCGACGAGGCGGCGGCCGCCCCGGGGGGACGCCCGCCCCGTCGTCGGCGGCGTCCTGGTCGGGGGCGGCAAAGAGGGGGGTGATGACCAGGGGGGGGTGGATATCATGGCGGGGGCCATGATATTTCCCCAGATTTCATGGCGCCCCTTCTCATTTCATGACGTCCCTGGCCCCCCCCGCTGGGCCGCGCACATGCCGCCGGTCATGATTTGCACCCCCCCCTCTTGGACACCCCCCTCTTGGCGGCTCCCGACCTGGCGAGTCGCCAGTGGTGGAGAGACATGGGAAAGGATTTTTGCTGCGATCGGTGAGTTTACCACAAGCGCTCCAACTTCTGAGGGCTGCGGCCCATTTCCGCCCATCCCCCGAGGGACGCGCTCCGGCGCGATGGTGGCGGTTCGTTCGTTCGTTCGTTCGGCCCCCGGGGGTTCAGCGTATGGAAGCATTCGCGACGGAGGTTCTACACTTCTCGGCCTCTATAGGGGCCCTTTGCCGGGCCTCGGGGCCGTCGAAACAACGGGCCGGGACGAAACGCCGGTCCTGGGGGATGGGTCGAGGCTTCCAGGGGCCCCGTATTGAAAAAATCACGACCTCGGATCTCTGGGGCGGCGAGCCGCGGGGGGGAAGCGAGAAGGATCAGGCCTTCTCAGAAGGCTCGGATGTGCCTCAGCCTTCCGAGTAGCTTGCTGAGCTCTCCCTGGAGACACCGAACAACACCTTTCCCAGAAGGCGCGAATGCTGCTCAGGAGTCCCGCGGCCTCCTGGGAAGGCCTCGTCCTTCTCACTTCCCCCCTCGCTTGCCGCCGAGTTTCAGAGGAGGGCCAATCGCCAATCGTCTTTCCAGTTTTAGTTGAGCGTGCCGATCGCCGAGAATGCGGTGACATGAACCCGGCCGGCCAATCGAGCACGTTCGTTCTTTGTTGTGGACGGGTATAGCCCCCATGAGGGGAAGCGGATTTGCCTTGGGGGGTGAAAAAAAGAAGAAGAAGAAGTTTCAGACGAGAGCCAGTCCCCGAGACCTCGGCGTCGCATTTTTACACAACGTGCGATTTTACCTCGCTTCGGGCCCAAGCTTTGCAGCAGACAGGTGGCTCTGGGGCTCCGTTCGTGGTTTTCCGCGATGTTGTATTTTTTCGTTGCTGCAGCGTTGAATCTCAGGGTTTGGGTCAGCAGTAGGTTTAAGCCGGGCCTGTGGCCCACAGGCCCGGCCTAAGGTTTGGGCCAACTGCAGTGAGACTGGGGGGCCTCCTCGCCGCGGCTGGACGCAGCTCGGACACCGGCGCGTTTGGCCCCGGGAGGGGTCGGGGCTCAAGAGCCGGGGGTCAATGCAAACGGGGGTCAGCCAGGGCACCGGATCCTGCAGGTTCCTGTGAAGACCCCCTCTGGCTGACCCGGGTTAGGGAGCCGCTTGTGGCCGCGAGGCGGCCGCGCATATTGGCTGACCCGGGTTTGCGAAGACCTGCGTTGCAGTTTTTCTTTTTCCTGCATTACAGTTGTTTGGTTTCTTGCTGACCCGGGTCTGGATTGACCCGCGTCAGAGGATTCCCGAAGGGGGCGGGATCGGTTTGGAGATGCCGTTGCCTCAACTCGCCCCGCCCCGAAGGTTAGCAACAAGGACCACCCAGATCTCAGACGATGTTTATTGTTCGGCCTGGGCGGGTTTTTCTCCGAGGTCGGGGGCCTCTTGGGCTGGAGGTTGATAGGACCTCCACCTTGCCAAGGCGTTGTGCGAGTTGTTCTTGTTCTGTTTCTCCTGTGGGCGCTGCGACCGCACCCGCCTCCTTTCGGCATCTCCGGTGGGTGGGTCGGTGGGGCGGGGTGGCCCAGAGGCTGCCCCAGAAACAAAAAAACTATAAAAAAACGATTAAAAAGAAAAAAAAAAAAAAAAAAAAAAAAAAAAAAAAACGGCGCGGAGAATTCTGGCGAAGCCTTCGCGGGAGGCCCGGGTCCTC